ACCCTCAACCCTCAACCCTCAACCCTCAACCCTAAACCCTCAACCCTCAACCCTCAACCCTCAACCCTAAACCCTCAACCCTCAACCCTAAACCCTATACCCTAAACCCTAAACCCTAAACCCTAAACCCTAAAACCCTAAAACCCTAAACCCTAACCCCTAACCCCTAACCCCTAAACCCTAAACCCTAAACCCTAAACCCCTAAAACCCTAAACCCCTAAAACCCTAAAACCCAAACCCCAAGCCTTAAAATCCTAAATCCCTAAAACCCCAAACCTTAAAACCCGAAACCCTAAAACCCTAAATCCCTAAAACCCGAAACCCTAAAACCCTAAACCCCGAACCCCAAACCCCGAACCCTAATCTCTAACAAGTAAACCCTTCAATCCCTTAAACCATTAGCTTGCTGCAATATTAGATTTTTTTTCGTGCCTATTTTCTTCATTTTTCTTTAACTGCACTCTTAACTTTGGCTCTTCAATTCTTAACTATTTAATATCATTTTTTCTTGATAATTTCTCTCAAAACCTAGTTTTACTTAAAATGTATGAATCTTGCAAAATAACCAAATATATACATAAAAGCATAAGAAAACGTCTCAAAACTAGCAATAACTAAAGCCTAAGGATAATTCGCAATGTGCAGTGCCATTATTGGTGGAGGTTTGTTCTCTACCAAAATCCTTAAAGATGTAAAACCTTAGCCTTACATGTAACTCCTTAACACCAACAAAAAGATAAAAAGAATTCTTTGAACGATCCATTAAAGCATGTGGTGAAAAAACTAAGTTAGGTTCGATAATAGACAACTTCATAGAGGAAGATGTTAATATTTGATGTTTATATATGTTTTATTAAAAAAAAAACAAAAAGTTAAAAGTATAAGCCCTAAATATAATACCCAAAAAGAAGAAAAAAAAAACTCTTAATGGTTCATTTAAGCATATGGTGAAAAAAAAAAAAAAAAAAAAAAAAAAAAAAAAAAAAAAAAAAAAAAAAAGAAGCTAAGGTTCTATGTTGTCGAGTTTCAGATCTGGGAATGGTAATATTTGATGAGTCTAAACCCATTTTAATTTTTCTTTCTTTTGGCCTCTTTCTCTTGCCATTTTAAAATATGTACTAAATTATAAGATAGTATGATATAATATGCTATGATTTTGTATAAAAAAATGTGTCAATTTTCGCCTCCTCCCAACCATTACACGATATGGCATGACTTCTCTTCTTCAACTATCTTCTATTAATTAATTTGTTTCTTATCCAACAAAACACTAAATTTTATTAGGATACTAATGATATGCTAGTCGATAACTAAAGAGTAGGAAAGAAGGATGTGATTATAAATAGAGGGAGATGGAGAGAATAAAACTTAAGAAAATTGTGTTTCTTAAACAACAAATAATTAAATAATTAAATAAAATTGGGCGAACAGTTATTTTGGGGAGTTCACCGGTAATTTATAGAAGGAAATATTTTGATGTGAGACATGTTGGCAGTGTTGGAAGAAAGGAGAGGTAGGAAAATATGGACGGTTAGAGAAAAAGTTGGGGTGTTTGAATGGGTGGAAAAATGAGTTGAAGGGGTATATAAAGGAAGGATTATGGAAGGGTTAGGCAGCAGGAAGAAGACAATAACCCATCTCCTTACGATTTAGGGATACAAAGGCAAGTCGGTCGAGAAGAAGCGGTGAAAGTAGAGATGGGTAGGCTGATGTTTAGCGCGCTGCTGCAGTTTCTATGCCTCTCCAGTGTAGCAGTGTGGACGGTCCGGGGTGAAGACCCTTATTTGTTCTTCGTTTGGAACGTCTCCTACGGCACCATCTCTCCCTTGGGAGTTCCCCAGCAAGCCATTCTCATCAATGGCCAATTCCCCGGACCTAATATCAACTCCACCTCCAACAATAACGTTGTCGTTAACGTCTTCAACAACCTGGACGAGCCCTTCCTTCTTCATTGGAACGGTATTCAACACAGAAAGAACTCGTGGCAAGATGGACAACTTGGAACCAATTGCCCAATCCCCCCCGGGACCAACTACACTTACCGTTTCCAAGTTAAGGACCAAATTGGAAGTTTCTTCTACTACCCATCAATTGGCCTGCACAGGGCAGCAGGAGCATTCGGCGGCCTCCGTATTAACAGTCGCTTACTCATTCCTGTCCCTTACGCTGACCCTGAAGATGACTACACTGTCCTTATTGGTGACTGGTTTACCAAAAGCCACACCACTCTTAGGAAGATCTTGGATAGCGGTGTCCGCTCCATTGCTAGGCCCAACGGTGTCCTCATCAATGGCAAGATTGCGAAGGGGGACGGAACTGATGACCCACTGTTCACCATGAAGCCTGGAAAGACCTACAAGTATCGAATTTGCAACGTGGGACTCAAGGCATCTCTCAACCTTAGATTCCAAGGCCACACCATGAAATTAGTCGAGATGGAAGGTTCTCATACCGTTCAAAACGAGTACCAATCACTGGACGTCCACGTGGGGCAATGCTTTTCGGTGCTAGTCACGGCCGACCAAGAGCCCAAGGACTATTACCTAGTTGCATCCACTAGGTTCATTAAGAATGTTCTGGTTGGTAAGGGCATTATTCGATACACCAATGGCAAGGGTCCCGCCTCTCCTGAAATTCCAGAGGCTCCCACTGGTTGGATTTGGTCTCTCAATCAGTTTCGTTCCTTCCGCTGGAACCTTACTGCTAGTGCTGCAAGGCCTAATCCCCAAGGCTCCTACCGGTATGGTTCCATCAACATTACTCGTACCATCAAGCTATTCAATTCAGTTAGTAAGGTGGATGGTAAGTTGCGCTATGCCATTAACGGCGTCTCTCACATTGATCCTGAAACTCCATTGAAACATGCGGAGTACTTTCGACTTAGTGATAAGGTCTTCAAATACAATATCATTTCGGATGAGGGACCACCTGAAGGCTCAACCTCCATCACTCTTGCTCCCAATGTTGTGAATGTAACCTTCCGAAACTTCGTAGAGATCATTTTTGAAAATCGTGAGAAGAGTATACAATCATGGCATTTGGATGGCTACTCTTTCTTTGCGGTTGCGTAAGTGGTCACTTCAAATGTTTAATACAAATTTCGTAATCTCGGCTTCAACATGCCTAATAAATCCTTTATTCAATATTTTACAGCATCGAGCCTGGGAGATGGTCTCCAGACAAACGATCCAACTACAATCTTCTAGATGCAGTGAGCAGACATACAATTCAAGTGTACCCTAATTCATGGGCAGCCATTTTCCTTACATTCGATAATGCTGGAATGTGGAATTTGAGGTCTGAGCTAATAGAAGACCGTTACTTAGGACAGCAACTTTACATAAGTGTTCTTTCACCAGCTCTCTCCCTTAGAGATGAGTACAACATCCCAGATAACGTTTTGCTTTGTGGTTTGGTGAAGGGCATGCCATTGCCCAAGCCATATTCTATTTGAGACTGTTCATCTACCCAGCAGGACCTGCACACCACCGATTAGTTTGGAGAAGCCTTTTGTTTTAGGTGTTTTTTTTTTTTTTTTTTTTTTTTTTTTTTTTTTGAAATAAAACACAGATTCATTTTGCATCAATTAGGGCTTCCATATTTGGAAACATTGATTCAATTGTAAACATCTTGAAATCCCAAAATTTTGTTGGGATCTTCTTCATTCTTCCACTGTTAATTGATGAGCTAAAGATGAGGCTAAATTAAATTTATGTTAACACATTTTCCTAACAATTTATTAATCTACTGGAGCCTAAGATCTCGAGAGGTGTGGCTCAAGGGGTGTGATAAGAATACTAAATGCTTCAACTCAAAACCTTCTCAATGTTACTGGACTTCTCATTGTATAAGCAAAAAATCCAGATGCCATCAAATACTCATGCAAAAAATAATTTTATTTTTCTCAGTATTTTATCAATTCCATGTCAAGGGGAAACTTATAAGAATTAAACATTTTTTAGGGTTAGAATTGATACAATTTGAATAACGGACTAAAAATTGATACAATTTAATATGCAAATTTGGTTATTACTATTTACCATGAAGGTGGGTTTTTTAACCTTTCATAAATTACTAACAAAAATAAAAATAAAAAAAAATAAAAAAGTTAAACATAGCATTATATATATTTATTAAAAAATATATTTTAAAAAATTTAAATAAAAATAAGAGATAATATAAATATTTTAATATTTTTTCTTCATTTCTCTCTTCTATATCTGAGGCGAAGGGGAGGACCTCCTCCCCCATTCTAGATCTTTCTAATGGTAAAAATAAAACAAAAGAGGAGAAGAAAAAAAAAAGAAAAGTGGTGTATAGTAATAGAGGAAGGAGGGAGAAGATATTAAAATACTTTTTAAAAAATTAAAATTTTATAGGCTAAAATGTTGAATTTGAAAACTCAACGTTAGACTAAAGGTTTAATTTTTCCAAAATACTATTAGTCAATTAAAATTAGTTTGGATCTTCTATTAATTAAACTTATGAATTAAAATTTTGGTATGGCGTGAAAATGTAATCAATTTTTCAATTGTATTTATTTTATATAATTAATTATAACTCTTTATATAACTACCCACCTCAAAGCATGATTTGGGCATATTACTTTGAACATGAACATTAACTTTGATTACATGGTTATTAATGGCATTAGAACTTGTGTTCTACAAACTAATCATCTAACCAATATATTGTGATTAAAAATAAAATAAAAAAAAAACAAAAATAATGAGGTTTTTAAAATAAGATTCGGCCACATGAATTTTCTTAATTCCAATCGACTAGGCTCCCTGACTCCACTTGTTTGGAGAGTGAACCACTTATTTATGGAAGGAAACAATTTGTGCGGAGAGGGATTGTTGGGAAGGAGAGGTGGGGGAATATGGATGGCAAGAAAAAGGGGGAAAGTTAGAGGAAAACGTGGACGAGAGATTGAGTTTTGAAAGTATATAAACGAAGGAGCGGAAGGGTTAGACATCAAGGAAGGGAACAACAACCCATATTGGGATACATAGCAAGCCTGCTCGACAATAAGAGCGGTGATTGGACAATAATATAAGGAAGGGGGGAGGTCGAGATGGCTGGGTTGATGTTTAACGTGCTGCTGCAGCTGCTATGCCTGTCGGGTGCAGCAATGTGGACGGTCCGTGGTGAAGACCCTTATTTCTTCTTCACATGGAACATCACCTATGGCACCATCTCTCCCTTGGGGGTCCCCCAAAAAGGCATTCTCATCAATGGCCAATTCCCCGGGCCTAATATCAACTCCACATCCAACAATAACATTGTCGTTAACGTCTTCAACAACCTGGACGAGCCCTTCCTTCTTCATTGGAGCGGTATTCAGCACAGGAAGAACTCGTGGCAAGATGGAGTGCTTGGAACCAATTGCCCAATCCCACCTGGAACCAACTTCACCTACCATTTCCAAGTTAAGGATCAAATTGGGAGCTTCTTCTACTACCCATCAACTGCCATCCACAGGGCTGCAGGAGCGTTCGGTGGGCTTCGTGTTAATAGTCGCTTACTCATTCCTGTCCCTTATGCTGACCCTGAAGATGACTACACTGTCCTTGTTGGTGACTGGTACACCAAGACCCACACCGCTCTTAAGAAGACTTTGGATAGTGGCCTCTCCATCGCTAGACCCGCCGGTGTCCTCATCAACGGCAAGACTGCCAAGGGCGACGGAACCGACGAGCCACTCTTCACCATGAAGCCTGGAAAGACTTACAAATATCGAGTTTGCAATGTGGGACTGAAAACATCTCTCAACTTCAGACTCCAAGGTCACACCATGAAGTTGGTAGAGATGGAGGGGTCTCATACCGTTCAAAACGATTACCAGTCCCTTGACATCCATGTGGGACAATGCTTTTCGGTGCTAGTCACAGCCAACCAGGAGGCCAAGGATTATTACATGGTTGTAGCCACTAGGTTCACTAAGAACGTTGTTGTTGGTAAAGGCATTGTTCGATACACCAATGGCAAAGCTCCCGCCTCTCCTGACATCCCTGAAATACCCGTAGGTTGGGCTTGGTCTCTCAATCAATTTCGTACTTTTCGTTGGAACCTCACTGCTAGTGCTGCAAGACCTAATCCCCAAGGCTCATACCACTATGGTTCCATCAACATTACTCGCACCATCAAGCTCGTCAATTCAGCTACTCAGGTGGATGGCAAGTTGCGATATGCCATCAATGGTGTGTCTCATGTTGATCCTGAAACTCCATTGAAGCTTGCAGAGTACTTTGGTATCGCTGACAAGGTGTTCAAGTATGATACCATTTCTGATGAGGGACTACCAAAAGACGCAACCACCGTGACTACTGTTGCTCCTAATGTTGTTAATGCAACTTTCCGCAACTTTATAGAGATTATTTTTGAAAACCACGAGAAGAGCATACAATCATGGAATTTGGATGGTCACTCCTTCTTCGCTGTTGCGTAAGTATCTATAATATAACAAATTTTCAATTTAGACATCACTAATTCTTATGCAATATTTGCAGCATTGAGCCTGGGAGATGGTCTCCACAAAAAAGATCCAACTACAATCTTCTGGACGCAGTGAGCAGGCATACAATTCAAGTCTTTCCTAAATCGTGGGCAGCCATTCTTCTTACATTAGACAATGCTGGGATGTGGAACTTGAGGTCGGAGTTGACAGAAAATCGTTATTTGGGACAACAGCTCTACCTTAGCGTTCTTTCACCAGCTCGATCCCTGAGAGATGAGTACAACATTCCAGACAACACTCTACTTTGTGGTTCAGTGGAGGGAATGCCATTACCCAAGCCATATACCATATGACTCTATCCATCCACAACCTTCCTCACTCCAAATGTGAAAAGATTATACACAAGTAATTTGGAGAGCTTGATTTTTCATGTATGATTGTTTGGTAGTATAAAATAAAAGAACATCTTATAATTAATTACTTTGTCCTTTTTCTCGATTTTGAGATAAAATACTTCTCTAACGTTTCTAAGGCAACTCTCCTTAACTCTAAACAATTACAATTCTGCATTCAATTTGAATTAACAATAGAGTTTTAGTCGATAAGGACCATGGAAGAGTAGATAGATAAAATATGTTAATAAATAAGTAGAGAGAAGAGAAGAACAATGTAGTTACAAGAACCAACATAAACAGGGGACAACGGAGTTAAAGAGGAGGACACAATGTTTATTGATATGCAGAGGCAATCTTACCTTATTTCGGTCAGTAGCAAACTCAGAACTTCGTCATGGGGCAATATAGAAATAATCTTTTCACACATTATAAATATCTATTTTCTATTGAACTTGTTTACCCATTCAGACGTCAAAGCCAACGCATTGCTTTTACACAACACAGCCGAACGTTACAAGAATTTCCTTTAATGAAAAAGAATTATATCTAATTACGTGAAGCTGTACAACATCAGCCTACGTTACATATAAGAACATAACAGGAGCAGATACTGGGTATTCGTGAATACTGGGTATTCGTGACATCAAAATAAGAACATAACAGGAGCAGATAGTCAACAAAATCACCAACTCGGGGCTCTAAGCCGTTTGCTGATTCGCAGCTGCTGTATACTCAATCCTACAAAAAAGACTAAACCTAGTTAGTTAGAACTTACAAGCAACATGTGGATGAAGGCACAGAAACAATCTGGTGCAGCCATTCAATTATATATGCTCAAAAGCAGGCCCACAATATTGATACAATACCTCTTAATTAACATTTCAAACTTCGACATGCATTTCATCAATTCAATTACATGCAAAAACGAAGACTCTTTCTCAAGTCGGATGGGGAAAATGATGGGCTATATACTAATCTTAAACGAGTATTCATTGGGGAAAATGATGCAAACTCAGTACTCCGTCTTTGACATCACTACTCTCCTTAAGTTGACCTCAAAGCCACTAGAACTTTAATTTTGAATAATTTCTCTGATGCCCCATGAACTTTTTCTTTTAAAAAACCAACCACATCATCAAACAAAACAAAGTATATATAATACAATAGAATAAAAGATCTTCATTTAAAAATATAAACTAAGTTGATAGGTCACAGTAAAGAGGCAAAAACAATACAAAGAAAACCATGAAGAGAAAATAAAACGACATCAATTATTACAAAATTCTATAAATTAAGAATATGCAGTAGAAGTATAATATTGAATAAAAGCATTCATAAACCAAGTAACTAAGATTGTTCAAATGGGTTATGAGCTGCTATTCATCCTTATATATAGATGAAATTTAATAAAAACAGTGATGGATCAACAAAACACTAGAGAAAGTAGGACATCGAAAAAAAATATTGAAAAACTTCAGACTCAAGGCTGCACTTACTTCTTTTCCAAAAGATTCAACAACTAAGCATTCTACATAATATTTAGTACTGGCGACAGGATGTGAGATCATGCGTAAAGATCAAAGCCATATCACCAGTCAAGTTTGTTCCATCATTCTATAAATCGCAGACAAAAGAATTAATAAAGTCATTCCAGTCTCTCATTTACCATGTCCTCCCACTGATATTTATTTTTAACCAGAAATTAAAAAAAAAATCATTTAATAAAGGAAAAAATGACTGATGCTCTAAAGATACAACCTCCACTAGAGAGAAAAGGCAAAGATTTTAAAAGAAACAGCTGAGGCAAGCCAGTACGTTGACCCACTTCCTATCATCCAGTGAAATATACAAACACAATAATATTTGGCCAGGAAGAGTAAAAATAATTCTATAAGCCTAAGGAAGCTAACAGGTTTGATTATCTGAGATAAGGAAACTCACATCAGCTACTTGGAAATGTCTGGACAGCTTTGATCGAGATACATCTGGCCCAGAAGTAGAACTATTATCACCATTACCGAAATGGGAGATCTGCAGACAAAACAGCAAGAATTGATGCTATAATTGGTCGATTACTGCTGATAAAAAAAAATAAAAGATGCAAAAAGAGGAAGTCAATTTACATCCTCTTGGTTATCTTTCGGAGGCTATCACCTTAGCTACCAAGATCGAAAGACAAAATTAGCAAAAAAACAGGCAAGACTTGCCAAAGAAGGAATACTTGGAAGCAACAGCAAGGTCAAAGGAGAAATACAATCGATGCCGCAAACAATCTTGCACAAGGAACTTCCTTGTGCAACAAACCAAAAAGGACAAAATCCCAATCAATAACACCATCCAATATAGATTTGGAAGGTGGTAGTTCAAAGAAAAAAATCTAATTCTTATAACCGACCTACGCTTGACAAGTGTTTCAGGTGTAAACAGCAGGAACAACTTTTTAACGAATGTGCCCAATGAAGGACTGCCAATTTAAGAATTGGAGGATGAAGGCAATGAGGAACACTTGAACAACTCAGATAATGTTAGCTAGCGTGTCCTTGTCCAACACTTGTTGAACACGTATCCGACATTCGTTACTACAATAGATGTTTTAAGACACTAGAACAAAGTCTAAATAGGTCCACCATTTGTTAGACATGCATCAAACACTTGTTAAGTATACTAAATAGACAAATATAATATAAAAAAAATTATTGAAACACATCAAATTAATTTTTTAAGCATATAAATGTGTAAATTCATTGACTTTCAATTTTCTTTTTTTTCTTTTTTTTTTCTTTTTTTAAACATGATATATATATATATATATATATTTTTTTTTTTTTTAAATGTATATTTTAATAAATGTGTCATTTTCGTGTCCATGTCCAGGATTTTAAAAAAATGATGTGTCGTCGTGTGTGTGTCGTATCCGTATCACGTTCTTGTATTCATGCTTCTAAGTGATAACAAAGTGTTTAGGAAATTTATCAATGCTCTAGACCTTAAAACTGCACCTCAGCCCAACTCCTACCAAGTGAGTTGGATAAAAATGAGGAGAAACTAGTGTTGGTAAGATTTCCGCCATACCCCTTTCCATAGGGAACTAATACAAAGACCAAATAGTTTTTGATATTTTAAAAATGGAGGCTTGCCACACTTTACTAGGATAATCTTGACAATATGATAACCAAACCTGATGTGGGGTTTTTTGGGGGCTTTTCAGCTTCCTTTTTACTGACCTTTGTTTTTTACCAACTGCTAGAAAGTGAGCTGGATTAAAAAATGAGGAGAAACTAGTGTTAGTGAGATTTCCACCATAGCGCTTTCTATAAGGAACTAATACAAAGATCAAATAGTTTGTGATATTTTAGAAATGGATGCTTATTTTTCTAGGAGGATCTAGGCACTATGATAACCAAAACTGATGTAGGGGGCTTTTAAGCTTTCTTTCTAAGTTTTCTGTTGGCTGTTTACTGGCTTTCTTTTTAGTAACCTTTATTTGTTGTTTAACAGCCGGTTAAGTGTTTTATTATTTGTGGTAATTAGATTAGTTTCTTATTTTTATTATTGGTGGTTACTTTCCAGCTAAGGGGTTGACGTCTTCAGCATATATACCAATTTCGGTATCAAAGACATCGTGAAAGGGTTTGATGGCTAGAAAAAACACCAGCAAACCCACTTCATCTTGTAAGAATTGTATGCTGAAAAAGATACCGTGGAAAACCAAATACTTGTAAGATATAAAATGAAGCAATGATAGCTAGCAGATTTAGAACTAGTAAATGGATGACAACAGATCAGAACGGGTGCAAGCAGGAGTGCATAAAAAATTGATACATTACCCCAGACAAGCATTTACTATCATGACCATCTTCGAATAGGGACTAGCAATAAGTTGGATCATAGATAGAGCCCCCTATCATATCATCAGAACCTGAGGGTTGTCTAACTACAACAGGAGTAGCGGGGCTAAGAAAACTATTTCTCAAATCATAATCTACCTCTCGGTGAACTGGAGTTTCCATATATGAAATCCCCGATCTGTAAATTCGAATCCATAGTAGTGAAGACGATAGTCTAACAGCAAAACCAATAATTTGCATAGCCAGAGTAAGCTTCACTGAAAAGGTAAAAAGGGGTCCATATTGCTTGGATGAGACGTTCCTGCATATAGGCAACCTTTCATTCAAATTACAGGGTAAAACAGCGGTCAACACCATGCTGATTTAGAAGCTCATTATGCACATGCGCACTTAATGAACATTGGAAAAGAAAAAGCAGGCAAGAAGATTGATGTCAGGACAACGGAGAATGCATTGCTCAAATAGAGTCTTATATATATATATATATATATATATTAATTTAGATTGGGTGATGGCTTGCAGTACAAAATGATAAAGCGTACAAGTGATGTTATTGCAACTATACAAGATCAAAGTTTCATTCAAAATCTCTTTTCATTAATCATAGCTGATTCAAAATCCTATTTTTTCAGAAATTAGAAAAACAACCAAGAGTGTAAAGTTTCTGCGTAAATTGAATTAGCTTCATATATCTGATGATAAACTACAGTGCAGCCACGGACCAGTGTCAAAGATGAAACAATGAGGAAGGTTTATCATGATTTTATCCAAGTAGTTAAAGAAAGGAAAGGAAAAGCATTGGTAAAGAGTTGGAGGGCGGATAGGGTACCTATTGGGTATCGTATGAAGCATATGAATATGAAAAATAGAATTATAATGTAACACAAACTTGTTTTGAATGAGTCCCTTCTAATTTTACTCTTTGAACAAGCGCCAAGCAGTCAAGACTCCCATTCCCAGAAACAAACTAAACATTCTAAAACAAGGGAGAGGGAGAGACCATGTGTGGTAGGCAAAAGGAATGAACCAGAAGATGTCGAGGAAAATTGCAGAGAAGAGGAGAAGAGCATATGTTCGGCTACCAAAGCGAATAATGCGATCACCAAATTTATAAGCAATACACCATTGTACAATGCCCCTAGGGATCCAATCAATGCGCACCCGATCTTTCTCATAAGTATTTACAAAAAATAGATTAAGATTAAGAACTGAAAATAGAGATAACAAAGAATGATAGTTCCGATGGGGGAAAGAATGCACCTGGATATAAATGAGAATGAGTGCGAAAGACTGAAGCCTAACATAATCACGAAGCCATGGCCGAAGTCGATCTCTCAATGAATTGCAAAGCATCATATGGTTTTCTTTGAAATGGGAAGCTTAAATTATTACAGAAAAATAACAATAAATGTTACTCATAAAGATAAAACACGAGGGTAATGTGAGAATGTGGCAAATAAAGATTGGATGGTCGGAAAATTTCAGAGAGAGAAAATGAGAAAATAAATATAAAAAAAAAATAGTAAAATAAATGCAATAAAGGGGGAGAGAGGGAAAGGGAGAGTTTGAAGAAGCGGATAGGAAGGGTCGGGGTGCCAGAGAAAGAGAGGGAGAGAGAACCCTTCCTATTTACTTTTTTGTTTCATTGAATTCTGTCTCTCTGTCTCTCTCTCTCTCTCCAGTTCGCGACGGCCTCCCTCCTCTTCCCCTTTTTCCACTCCCACCGAATTCTATTCATTTCATTTCAATTCGCCGGTTGCGATCGGAGCAAACGCACAGATTCCTTGAGTTCCTCAACCTACGCTTCGGCTTTCAAGTAACTCCTTTTTCTTCTTCATCTTCTTCCTCGTTTTCCTCCGATCCTAAATGATATTGCTTGCCATACTAATTAACAGTTTTCCTCCCATCCTTCATGATATTGTTTTCAAGTTTTTGTGTATTCCACATCACATCTGATCTGACGATTTTTTGTTTTCTTCTTTTCCCGCGATGAGCTAGCTACATTCGATTTGGGATCATCCTGTTCTCTTTCGAAAATTGAATAGCTGAAGGTTGTGGTTTCTATTGGAGGTTATCATCCTGCAATACAATACAATACAATACGATACGATACGATACGATATAAGAGGAAAAGGTGAAACTAACTAACAACACAACACACCGAGGATGGACGAGTCAATTGCAACAAGATATTGGTGTCACGTGTGTTCTCAAATGGTGAATCCCATCGTTGACGTGGAAATTAAATGCCCTTTCTGCCGTAGTGGCTTTGTTGAAGAGATGGGTAACGGTATGTCCAGCGACAATAATGGTAATAATAATAATAATAGTAATAATGCGCTTGAATCCGATTTTGGGTCGGAGCGAGCTTTGTCCCTCTGGGCCCCGATACTGCTGGGTATGATGGGAAATCCCCGTGGGCGTCGTAGATTCAGGCATCTAGAGTTTGACGAAGATGATGATAATAATAATGAGCAGGAGCATGGGGATGGGGAGGGGAACCGTGCGAGTAGTGAGCCGGCTGAGCTTGATTCGGTCATTAGGAGGAGGAGGAGAAGTTCGGCTACCATTCTACAGTTGCTCCAAGGTATCAGAGCTGGAATGGCAACTGGTGAATCAGAGAATAGTTACGAGGGAGAGAGGAGCAGAGAAAGAGAAAGAGAAAGAGAACGAGAACGAGAAAGAGAGCGGGTTATCCTTATAAATCCTTTCAACCAGACCATTGTAGTTCAAGGAGGTGAGAGTCAAAATCATAACGCTATAGGGTCGCTGGGTGATTATTTCGTAGGACCTGGTTTGGATTTGTTATTGCAACATTTAGCCGAGAATGATCCCAACAGATATGGCACTCCACCAGCCCAGAAGGAGGCAGTTGATGCGCTGCCCACGGTGAGAGTTGAATGCGGGGATAATCGTCTGCAATGTTCGGTGTGTTTGGATGAGTTTGAGATGGATGAAGAAGCCAAGGAGATGCCTTGTAAGCATAAGTTTCATTCAGGGTGTATTCTGCCGTGGCTGGAGCTGCATAGTTCCTGCCCAGTTTGTAGGCATCAATTGCCTGCGGATGAGTCCAAGCGTGATACGGATGGTGGGTCGGCTAGGTTTATGGGTGAGCTTAGTAATGGTAATGATAGTGGCAGTGGCAGTGGCAGTGGGGAGATTGATGGGAGAACCGCATCTGGGATTGGGAGAAGGTTTTCGTTTCCATGGCCATTCAATGGCTTGTTTTCTTCGCAAGGAAACTCCTCGGGAGGAAGTGAAAGTGAGTCTCAAAGGGATCACACACCCATTTGAATATCTGTGTTTGATATGCTCTGCTTCGCTTCTGCCCTGCTTGCTTATGTATGTGTATGTATGTATGTATGTATGTATGTATGTTATACTTATACTGTACTATGCAGATGTTTTGCCTCCCACTACCCTTAGGACAATCTCTCTTCTTCTTCTTCTTCTTCTTCTTGTTCTTCTTCCAATTTTACCAACATTTTGTATATGTTATGCCTTTTCACTTCGCCCCTGCTTTCATTGCTATTCTTTCACATCCAATAACAACTACGTACGTATGTATGCAAAAGCTGGAGGCATCCCTTATAATTCTTCTGAGAAGATGCCAAGGCAAGAGGCACCGGTTTATTGATGAACAGAAGAACATAATTATTTCAAAATAAAGATAGTGTTTGGTTTCCAATAACACGACATTTGTCCGTGTCACGAAAAGAAATAGAGATGTAAGTTATAAAGTGTTGATCTCTACAAACCCGAAAACAATGAAGAAAATGAAGAGCAATTATTGGATGATTTAATCTGTGCTCGTGGTGAATAGCAAGCAAAAGAAGGAACTTCACTACTACTACTACTTCACTGTCAATATCTTGATAACAGAAGCTGTTCCAACGCGATGAAGAGCCACGATAGAATCTCCATTTTTGCAGAGGCCCTTTGACTTTGCATGCTGAATAGCAAACTCTATTGCTTCTTCCGTTGTTTCTGCATGAGACGACCTTGCTGATGCTGTGCTAAGAACCGGTAACAAGCCACGAAAAATTAAGCTATGCCTTGCTGGAGCTTCATCGCTGCACGACCAATCAAACGAATCTGTCTTGATCTCGGGGACAACTACGGACAAGATGGGCGTTCCTGGCCTATACTTGGCCACCAATTTTGCGGTGCTTCCTCCTCTAGTTAGGACAAGTATAAGAGCTGACTTCGCTGAGTTTGCAGTCCTAACAGCTGAAGATGCCAGGCTTTCTAATGGGCTCATGGGAACTGGCGAGTGTTCCATAATTCTTTTAAACACATCTCCATAATCAAGGGTGCTTTCAGCTTCAACACATATTTTTGCCATTGTTCTAACAGCAAGTTCTGGATATGCTCCAGCAGCCGTTTCGCCACTTAACATTACGCAATCTGTCCCATCAAGAACAGCATTCGCAACATCAGTGGCTTCGGCTCTGGTTGGCCTTGGTGATTTAATCATCGATTCCAGCATCTGTGTGGCTGTGACAACAGGTTTTCCTTGGATGTTGCACTTGTATATCATCACTTTCTGCGCCAGAAATATCTTCTCAATTGGAATTTCCATTCCCAAGTCACCACGTGCCACCATGAATGCATCTGAATTGGCCAGTATGTCGTCAAAATTTGCCACACCTTCTTGATTCTCAACCTGTGAGTCAAATTCCAGATAAGATACATAACAGGGCTGAAATCACTTCGACTACAAAACATTTGTGCTGCATGATTTTCTTTTTTAGGGCATTTTAGCATTTCACCGTAACTGAATGTACCTTTGACATGAGAAGAATACTTTTGGCATGCTTTCCAAGCAACTTCCGGACCTGTACAAGATCAGAACCTTTCCGAACAAAAGATAGAGCAATCATATCAATTTTATTAGGAACTCCCCATTCAAGTATATCTTCCGTATCTTTATCTGTTAGGGTAGGGAGATCCACTATAACTCCAGGCAGGTTAACATTTTTTCTATCACCAAGAACTGCAGAGTTCTCACAGCGACATCGTACCAAACCCAATTTTTTGTCACAAGACAGAACTGTAAATGAGATTGTACCATCTGAACAAAGTATTACGCTTCCTGGCTTTACATCCTCAGCTAACTTTTTGTAGCTCATACATATCATATTTTCATCACCCTTCAAGCTGTAGTCGGTGGATATAATTATCTCCTGCTCCTGTTTTAGTTGGATGGGTTTGCCATCTTTCAAAAATCCAGTTCGAATTTCCGGGCCCTGTTTTCAATTAAAAGCCAAACATAAATTAAACTTCATCAGTGAAGAACAATTGCTTTCATGCATTCCTTAAAACTGAGATGTAGCTGTTTTACTCTTAAGAAAATAAGTTTCCCAAGTGCAGATCATCGATAAAAGATATGAAACAGAAATCAGGAGAGCAATCGTTCCTCGGTCTGAGGAAAGCTCAGAAAACTAAACAGGAGTAGCAGGATTCAAACCTTCACACAAATCAGGAGAGATATTGTTTAGTTTTCTATTCCTGTTTGAATCCTGTTGATATTGTCCACTTTAGACATAAACCATCGTAATTTTAATTTTATTTTTGGAAAGTAGGATGAGAGAAACCTTAGTGTCAAGCATGACGGCGCAGAGAATACCAGTTTCCTCCATAGCGGCCCTGAGATTGTCGAGGGTCTCCTGGTGATAGGCGTGGGATCCGTGAGAGAAGTTGAAACGAGCAACATTCATTCCAGCTTTCAAGAGCTTTTCGATGATGGGCACAGACCTGGATGCCGGCCCCAGGGTGCAAACTATCTTAGTTTTGGGTTTCTTATCAATCACTAATTCCTCCATTTCTTATGGTTGATTCTGAATATGAAAGATGAACGGAGATGGGAAGTAAACGAAAAAGGGATTAAATCTATTCCGGAGGAGGAAGAAGAAGAAGATCCAGAAAAGTGCAGAAAGGAAATGGGCGAACTTTTTATCGGATAGAAGATATGGGAAAGGCCTTGATTGAATGTTGAGGCTGAGGAACAAGGACAAAGGCTGATTTATTAACGGTGCCGATAACCTTTCAATTTAAAAAATAAAAATAGATGAAGAAAATCGATTTGAACCCCCAACTTGTGGTATCAATTTGGAATTTAAATTAAACTTTCAACTTAAATAATTAAAATTAAATTTAAGCATTAATCATAAACACGAACAAGGCAATAAAAAGGAGGAAGCTTTTTGGAGTTGGAAAAGGCAATAAAAAAAAAACACGGGAAAAGCGAGATGCAATGCAACGTGGTCTGTGGCAATAAAATAAAAATACAAGAGACTGCTTTGTGTTCAGGGGCTGTGGTTTCAGCTTCAAGTTTGGCACAGGATTCCGCTTTCTTTAATCTTTTAGAAGCATGGCAACGGCAATGGCAATGGCCATGCTGCAGACTGAGGCTCTGTTTTCTCTTTCAGCTTCAGCTACATAGTTTAGATTTTGAAATCTTCTTTTTGTGACGTTGAAGCAGAGCCCAGGTGGGGATATCATCGACTGTGTCCACATTTCTAATCAACCACCTTTTGATCATCCTTTCCTCAAACATCACAAAATTCAGGTTTGTGATTCTCAGCTGTTGCAGCTATTTCAAGTATGTCCTGAAGTTCCTTCCCACTTGTCCTCTACAAGTGTTTTCAAAGTACAAGCAAGCAGCCAAGTATTGAAAACTAGAAAACGTTTTGTTTTTGGAATTTTATTAAGAATTCAAATCATAGCAAAGAAATTGGGAGAAAACAAACGCAATTCTCAAACGGGACCTTCAATTCCACATCTTAGATCTAACATATCAGAATGTATTTGCAGAGCGATGCATATCAAGCCACAGGTTGTTATAACCTCTTCCGCTCAGGCTTTATTCAAGTTAAAAGTGAAATAGCGATGGGGGCAAGCATCTCACCATTGTCTGGGTTTCGCAGTCCCCAGTACGATATCAGTATACTTATCTGGAAGGTAAATGCCAAACCTCACTACTAGATCGTAAGATTTTCTTAGTCGTTTCTCCATGCCGCAGTTTTTAAATTCATGAAGAACCCATATAAGTAGCATAGTTGAGTAGTGAAAGAAATATTTGGGTTGTTTATTTGGCGTAGGATCCAGATGAGGGACACAGGTGGATGCAATTTGGCAATGTGGATATTTAATAATAAATTATAGTTTACCATATATATTATATTTAATATTTTATTATAAGGCAAATATCTAATATTTATCTTATTATCATAGGTATCGTTATTTTCATTTATTACTATTTCCATATCATTGTAATTTATTTGATTATAAATAAGGTAACTTTCACACCATTTAGGTGTGGTGGATTAATCAAACATTCACATGGTATTAGAGCCCTCTCCGTTTCTTTTCAATGGCTTTTGAATCCTCTAATATTCTTCTCCACCACCCCTGCTGCTTTGACGCCGCAGGGGCAGTCTTCATGGCTGTCGTAGTCGGAGCCGATTGATTACTCTTCGGCTCCACCCTATTGACCTCTAAATCACCTTTCGTCATACTCTGTACATACAACCTCACCTTTTCCATCCAACCCAATCGGTTTTCCCTTTGGCCAATATAGTCTCTCTCATTTTCTTCCCAATCAACCTTCATCCTTCACATAAACCCTAACCTAAACCTATCAACCTTTTGTAGAGATTTACCTTCGGAATCTGGGTGCCGCACTAGCCTATTCGCCAACCAAGTTGCCGCCGCCCTTCCTGCCAAAATTGGCTTCTTCGCCCGATGAGGCGACTCTTCCGACTGCCCTTCTCGCCAAAATTGGCTCCTTCGCCCAATGTGGCGACTCTTCCGGCTTCAACATTGTCTTTGTCCCTTGCTCTAGGTTTCCCCTTCTACTTCTTGGGGTTAGAAATATTCTCACCAGAGCCAAGGCAGCATCGTCGCTAAGCGACAATCCCTCTTCATGGGTTAGACATATTCTCGCCGAAGCCAAGGCAGCATCGCCGCTGAGCGGCGATCCCTCTGCAATTTTTGATGGCCAAGAACCGAGTTGTTAGCATCTTCATGAAAAGTGTTTCTCAACCTCGTTGAATTTTTCAGATTCAAGCTTCACGTTCGTTTAAATCCGACGCTTAGCTTGCGGTGGGGTGTTAAGGATATTTAATAATAAATTATAGTTTACCATATATATTATATTTGATATTTTATTATAAGGCAAATATCTAATATTTATCTTATTATCATAGGTATCGTTATTTTCATTTATTACTATTTCCATATCATTGTAATTTATTTGATTATAAATAAGGTAACTTTCACACCATTTAGGTGTGGTGGATTAATCAAACATTCACACAATGAGTATGTGTTGGGATATTGGCCGTCTTTCTTATTCTTGTACCTGGCTAACAGTGCCTCCATGATTGAGTGGGGAGGGGAGGTTGTGAATTCAGAGGCTGGTGGACTGCACACCTTAACCCAGATGGGCAGTGGTCATTTTCCTGAAGAGGGATTTGGGAAGGCAAGTTATTTTAGGGACATTCAAGTTGTTGACAGCTC